AGTCACGACTGCATTTCGTATTTGAATTTTATTTTTTTCTACAAATTTAAATCACTTGAAATTTGGAGCGTCTATTCTTTAAAAACAGGAGAATCTAATAAAAATATCGAAAAACTAATTCATAAAAATTAAATTGACCAAAATATCCCTGAAATTACATTTTTGATAGTTTTATTAGGTGCACCTTGATGAGAAGAATGGACGCCTACACTTTCATGTGATTCAAATTTGTAGAAACAATACTAAAATTATATTATGAAGTGAAGTTGTGATCGTCAGATCGGCCTAGATTCAATCTAGGCTGTTGGGCTTACACTATTCCATCAGCCCATGGGCTAACAAGATCTTTTCCCATATATATCTAATATATATAGCAGAATTTTATAAACTGGGTCTTGTAACACGAAAGCTTTTTAAAAGGATTTTGTGTTTTCTTGTCGAACGATTTTCTTTTCTTATGACCTTTTTGTTTTGCATGTAATTTCTTTTTAGGCTGGGAAGAAAACAAAGTATTATATCCAAATTGCTCGCAGAAATCTCCGAGCTCTTTTTTCCCAGTCATTTTTCTTTTTCTAATTGTCTTTTCGATCTCAAATCTGTACACAACGCAAAGCCTTCTGCACAAATTTTTGCTGCTAACTCACCATAAGTGTAAGCATGGTAGGGTATTACCCCATTATTCTTGTTTTTAAGTCTGGTTTTCACCTTTTAAGAAAATAGGTAAGGAAGACCTTCTGTAAATTTTTCTTTCCAATAGTCTGCCTTACAGTCTTCTCTAAGTAGGAGTTTTGACCAAAATACATCTTTATACCACTTAAAATGTGACAGGGTTGGACACCTCAAATTTATAAGTAATTCTTTGGATCTATTCATCTGTAATGCGTGCTTCTTACAAAATGTAGGGTGATGGCATAGATTAAGGTGTTAACCGCATCTTCCTCTTCTATCGGGGCTTCCTGTTTAACCCTTGGACTGGTTTCAACCCATATACTATATTTTCTCTTGGTTTCTATAATTCGGTTTTTATCATTGTCTTCTAAACAAAAATCCCACCAACCTCTTAATTGGCCTCTAAAACCACAGGCTATAACTCTGGCAATGCCAGAGTCTTTATTGCCATTTTGTTTTGAGGCTGTAGCATACATTATTATATATATGCTTCATCAGGTTGATTTCCTGATATTCAAACATTCTGTCAACATTCCATTCCACAATAGACCTACTGTCGTATTGGGCCGGTTTATCAACATAATATTCTTCAATTTGAAGGTCTATTGGGGTTGGTCTTGTGTGGTACATCTTTGTAGGGGTCGTCGGGATTGTCTTTCTTTCATAAGAAATCATATTAATCCTGAAATCCTGCATTTTAGAACGACTAAAGATTTGGTCTGAATGGTTTAATTCTTCTTCTGAATAATTATGGTCATCTTGTCCCTTATCTTTCCCAGAAGTTGTTGGGTCCTTAGAAATTTCTAACTTTGATACTACCAGCTCTTATATAAACTCACTATCCTCTTTTCTGATAGGATACAATTTAAAAGTGTCCTTGTTTATACTAGGGGTAGGTTTGCACATTACTGGTTCTTTTCTCTTTTCTTTTTTAATTTTTCCTTATTAAGGAGGTTTTCAATTCTTGTTGTCTGGCTACCTAAGGATTGTAGATATAATTAGTATAGTTATTCTGTTTGATAATATGGTTTAACACTTTCAATATTAGCAGGTGAGTCTAACCTTTTGGGCTCATTTTTATAAGGAGATGCTTTTACTCCTTTTATATCTGCAGCAGCCTCAGGTGGATGTATGGACTGAATACTTTTTCCTTCTTTGGTTGTAAAAGTTTGAAAAACATTCTCAGCCACATTTATTTCCTTTTCTTCTTTAGAAAAGTCTGGAAATCTAATTTTATACTTTCTGCAGAACCATTCAAACCATTTAAAGAAACAGACATTAAATTTATTTTTTTGCATAAAATCATAATATTTTTCATGGAATTCTATCCTTGGTCTTTCATTAAATTCATTCGTAAACCATTCTCTTAATTTTTTATTCTGCTTAGAGTTAGAGTCTCTTTTAAGACATTCCTTATCAATTACAAATTGTGTCTTTTTGAATGACATTTGTTTGGAATTCTACATCTGAAAATATAGGTTCCACAGGTTCCTGATTCGATCTATGGGATGAACCTGGGGTATCAACCCTATAATAAGGCTCTCTTACTTGTTCATTAGGTTTTCCCAATCCTTCTAGGATTACTCTTTCGTGTTCCTTCTCATATTCCGTTTGAGAAATAGACGAATATGAATTTCTGGCTGGTATCCTAGGAGGGTTTCTAGCTATGTTTTTTCTCGTTTTCCTGGAAGTTGAAAACTGGATTTCAAGTCCTCCGTCCTAATATTCTATTATTTGTTCTACTTCTTTATTTTCTGGAGGTTTAGGTGACACCGCAGAGTGTACCATCTTTCTTGTAATTTTATTTGATTCCAAGGTACCATCAGCTTGAAAAAGGTCACTGATCTGTGTGATGGCATGTGTCTAAGTGTTGGGAAGTGTTGGTGGGCTACACCAAGCAAAATTCAAATTGTCCAGGTAAGAACACCGTACCAAAGGACACCATTGAAGCTTGTCTTGTAAATTTCCTCCTGCAATCAATACATGATCTTCATTTTCTTCCTTTTGTATTCGTATACTACAACCTGCTGCATGATGTTGCCACTCTCCCAGTCGAATATCATGGTCGTTTCCTTCTTGTTTAGAGTAGCGTAGTTGAAGATGTACAATATTTTCATATGAGATTTCCTTGTTTATAGAAATATATGCTACTTTAATGGTCTTTGCATAATCCTTCAGATCAGATAGCCCTTGACAAGATTCTTTGGTCATGTCATGGGCTAAACTCTCCAGAAAATTATTTTATCAGACAACGTTTTGAGAAGATCACTGGAGAATTACAGTTAAATAAAAGATTACTGGAGAAATATTTTACCAACTAAAATTTCAGTAAGAGCCACAAATACCTAATTTATTTTCTATATTACTGGTATCTTGTCTGTTTTCTTTATTTTTAGGAAAAATTTTATATAGAGCCGGGGCTCTAAACAATCAAATTAGAGCCCACCTCAAAAATTTTATTAGAAGAGGTTATTTTGATACCCAAATATTCTCAAATTGATCATCTCGGCATCAAGATGCATGGGCATGAGACAAAAATGGATTTCAAGTTTTGGAAATAGTGCATCTTGTGACACATTTTTGGATTGTCAATTTTCAAGATTTTCAAGTTTTCATAGATCTGCTTGATCTACACTATTTTTGAAGCTTTAAATTTTATAATTTAAGATGAAAATATATTTTAAGGCTATCACAAAGACTTCCAGTATTGAAACCACGTTTCTCGATACTATTTGAAGGTGCACTTTATTTTGATTATTTAGAACCTCGGCCCTATACAAACTGCACCCTTATTTTTATTTACTGCTATATATATATATATATATATATATATATATATATATATATAT